AAAAAAAAAAAAAAAAAAAGTGTAAAGAGAAATAAACGTCATTATTTTTTTTTAAATTGTATCATGTAATATAATTTAAAGCTTTGCTGTCACGTCGCAATTTATAAAAAATAAAAACAGGTCATTCAAATGTTTGATCCGAATACAACGGTATTTTTTTTGTTTCAATTTAAAGTAAATGAAACATTCATTCATTCAATTTCCAAATCGCTTATCCTCATGACAAATTTTGAACTAAAACGTAAAAAAAAAAAAAAAAAAAGTTTAATAATGAATCGAAGAATAAAAATACAAGGAGTGTTTGGAAAAAAAGAAATAAATCAACCAAAGCCTTCAAAAACAATGAAAGTTGAGTAACTAAAACATCTACATGCAATATGAAACATCATATTGTATATTATAAGTGTGTGTGTGCAAAGACAAGAAATAAAATACAAATATCAAGTAAAAAAGAAATTAAAAAAAAGCATTCTAAACTATTTTTAAAACCATCACGGCTGAAGGAAAGAACAACACGCCGCAAGCCATCAACACGTTTGTTCCCATTTGTCACGCAAATGAGCCGTCTTCATTTTTTTCCGGTTTTGCTGCCTTCCTCTTTGGTCACGATGCCGATCATGTGATTGAGCGCCCTGGTGCCCCCCCCCCCTCTCTCCTCTCCCCCACTTTGCTTACGGTGTGCATTCTTCCAGGCTGGGGCAAGTGAGAGTCAATCAGCCGCTGCAACTAATTAGCATTGGTGTCACGCCATCGCGCCGCTTTGTGTGGCCACAAAGCGGCGCCCCGAGCGCTCGAGAGCTCGCACAAAAGCGCCAACTGATCGTCACTTCATCCGCCGCTGCTGCAGTTAATTGTGCAAGTGGTTTTTTGGGTGGGTTTTTTTTTTTGAGGCGCGGGGGAGACTTTTACAGACAGCGCATTGTGTGGCCGCGCGGTCCGCGTGGCGCAATTATTATATTTAACTGCGGAATTTGCAGCGCAAGTCATCATGGGACTGTTAGTGGACACGCGCAAAACTTTCCGATAATGCTCAACTGCTTCTAGAAGGAAAGAGAAAGAACAACAAAAATCAACAAAAAAAAATCAATTGGCTTGCAATGCAAATGGTTGACATCTTGTTCAATTTGTGGCATGGGTCCTTGAGACTTTTCCATGCATCCCGTCGTGCCCACCAAATTTTATGTTGCGTTTTTTTTTTGTAGCTGCTGTTTTTGCGCTCACTGGTGACACCGGAAGGACCAGCACGAAAACACATCAATAGCATACTGGTCCATGCTGGGGTTTTTTTTAAAGCAGGTTTCTTGATTCGGCTTCTTGAGAAATTTTTTTGTGGGTCTTATCATCATGCAAAACACAACTTGCATTTTTTTTTTTTTTTTTAAACAGACAGCTGCAGACATGCCCAGCGAATTTCATGTGGATAAATAAGCGGCCGCTCGGGAGTGAACGTTCCAAAAGTAAAAGCACAAAAAGAAAAGCAGCGGCAGATTTTACCCGTCACGTTAATGGGGATGACGGAGGAGGCGACCACTCGCGAGTGGCACTTCATCCTCTCCTCGGGCGTGGGCAGCGGCAGCGCTCGGGACCAGTTGGTCTGCTTGTCCAAGGTGCTCGGCGTGTTGGGGACGGGGAGCAGTTTGGAGCGCTGACCGGGTGACGCCAAAGCCACCGAGTTGGGGTCAGAGGACGTCGCCTGCGAACAGACCAGCATGTCAAACCCGTCAATCAAGCTTTCGTGATTTGATTGTCATGAGCGAGTTGAGTCAAAAGATGGAAAGCGTGAGCACGCCCGGCAGCCAAATGCAAAGAATCGCAAACATGAGCAGGACAGCAGCAGCGGGAAAGTCCAACTGAAAGTTCACTTCTTTTTACACTTGTTTCCCCGTGGGATATGTTAAACCGGCCCCGTTTGAATTCCATTTCCCCAAAACTGCTCGCAAATCCAAACAATGGACTTTTCGCGGCGTCTCCTTGACAGATTTCATGCATGAACCACGAAAGGGAGAGCTGCCGTGTTGACGGTCGCTCGGCAGGAAGTTGACCACGCGTGAGGAAGATGTCTTTTGCTTCCGTGATGACACGCTAACAACATGCTACAAACGCTCATTTGTCACGGCGGCATGCAGCTGAGGAATGTCTTCGTCACACTGTGACCATCTGCAGCCCCTGAGGAACCCCTGCCACCCCCCCCCTACTCCCCCTACCCTCAATTCAATGCAAAGAATCAAAAGGCTGCTCCAGAAAATTTCCCATCATACTTCCTGAGGCCCACACAACTCGACGTCGGATGAAAACACACAAAAATAGGGAGAAAAATACTGCAAAAGGCAAGACAAAAATTTGGGCAAAATAGATATCAGAAACAAAATCGATACAGAGTCGCTGGTGATGGTCCACTCGAATGACTTGTGTGTGGGCAGTGATTGAGCAAAGGTGGGTTTGTGTGTGGTTGGTTGTCACTATATGTGCCCTGCGACTGACCGCCGACCAGTTCAGGGGGTAGTCCAGCTTTCGCCAGAAGTCAGCAAGGATAGCTTCCAGCAAACCCCGCGACCTTTTCCTGGATAAGCGGCGTTGAAAATGGACAGATGGAGGAAAATCGATATTAAGCTGTACAACGGATTAGACAAAATATCAAAAAAAAAACCACATGAAAAAGAAAAGGGACTGCAAAAATGGATGAGTGTTAGCATATAGATAGAAGACAGAAATGTTGGAAGAAACTCCAAAAAAAAATATCTGCAGATAATATTCAACATTTTTAAAGTACACCATTAGAAAAACAATAAATAAATATTTCAATAAAATATTTGAATAATAATAAAATAATCAGATTAAAAATACGCAGATATTACAAAACATGAAAAAAAGCATGATACTAAAATAGAAAATAATAAATATTTTTTATCATTTTTATAATTTTTTGGGGGGGGCGGGCATACAAAACTATTATTCAATAACGAAAAAAAAATCTCAACACACAAAAAGAAATTATAAAATATATATTTTTAAAAAGCAATACCAAATTCAATCAATACCGAATACTAAGAAAACATGGAAAAATATTTGACAAAATTGCAAAAATAATACAGTAAAAATATTTGACAAAAATATTGGCATGTTTCGGGAACACACACGTTTGGAACGTTTGGTTCACGCTGTGTCCATCTGGCACCTTCGCAGTTCAGTCAAGGGAAAGGCTCTTCCCATCAGTCCTTTTTCTCGCATTTCCAATTGCTTACCTGGAAAGTGGACACCGCGAACTGTCCCGTCACGAACGAGTGCTTCCTGCCTCTTAACACCCCCGCCAACCCCCGCCCACCCCACCGACCCCCACACTTCAACGCCAGCCCTTCCCCTTTTGTGACACCCGCGCACAAAAGGACAAAGCCCCCCCCACACTCAACAAAAGATCTCCAAGGAAACTTCTCCCGATTGGGAACAAGTCAGACGGGGAGAAATTGCGGCTGACTGTACGAAAGAAGAAGAAGAAGAACGAGGAGGAGGAGGAGGAAAAGCAAGAGCAGAGAGGACAGGAAGTGGGCAGCATGCGTTTATCCGCCAAAAACTGCGGGACCTCCCGCTGAACCGTCCATTAAGTCTCCTTTAGAAATGCATGCAAACATGAGCCACCCTCCAAAACGACTTCCTCTCTGTCTGTCAGATTTTCGTCAGATTTTTTGGGGGAGCCACATGATTAAGGGTTTTTTTTTTTTGTTCAATTTTCTCTTTGTTCCATTTTTTTTTGTTTTGTCAGATTTATATCTGCTTTTGTCAGGTTTTTGTCCATTTCCCGGTGACGCTAATTTTTTGTCTTTTTTTTTTAAATTTGTCTCCATTTTCTTTATGCTTTTTTTTGTCGGATTTGTGTCTGTTTTTTTTGTTATGTTTTGTCAATTTTTTTCCTGAATGTTGTCAGTTTTTGTCATTTGACAAAGTTTTGTCCATTTTTTGGTCATTTTTTTCATAGTTTGTATCAGTTGTCTAAGTCGTATCAGATTTTTGGGGGGTAGTTTTATTGCCCAATGATCAACTTTTTTTGCGGTATATGATCAACTTTTTTTGCGGTATTTTTCTCCTTTTTTGTTCTTTTGTCAGATGTGTATCTGTTTTTGTCATATTTCTGTTCTGTTCTTTTTGCCTCATTTTTGTCATTTGTCAGATTTTTCATTTGTTGTTTTTGTCCAAGTTTTTTTCTCATTTTGTAAAAGTTTTGTCAGATCTTTTTTGTCTTCGGGTTTTTCTTGCCATTTTTTTGTCGGTGTGGAGCAACAGCAAAGGAATTGTTGCGGCTCTTCCCAAATTTTTGGAGGGGAGCAGATTCAGAACGACGATGTTGAGCAAGAAGAAAATGAGAGGACAACGAGGGAGGGGTGCAAGTTGTGTGCAGGGGGGAGGGGGTGCTCTGCGTTACCTTTCTGTTCCAGGGGGAGAAGTGGCAACATTCGGTGGGGGAAGGCGGACGGGAGCTGGGGAACTGAATTCAACCCACAACACAGACGGGACAAACAGACAAAGAAAAAATGAACACGGATGACAACACGCACATAAAGACTGACAACACAGAGGAGGCGCTTGGAACCCTTTTTAGATTTTGCTCACCTTTTTCAGCGCCTCGGTCTGTCAGTTTTTTCAGACATTTTGCTTCCTTTCATGAATGAAGTTGTGGACTGTGATTGGCTCGAAAAGCAACCTCACTCATGACATTTAAAATTTTTTTTTTTTTTTTTTTACATAGTCTCAGTCCCATTTTCTTTTCTTATACAGGAGTACCTTGACTTACGAAAGGCCTGATGAAAACGTTTTTCAGGATACGAGCCGTTGCTCAAATTTCAAGTTTTATTTTCCTCTTTCCATTTTTTTGGGGTGGTGTCTTACGGGGGCTGGAACGAATTTGTGGCATTTGCGTTCAAACAGGAAAGATGAGTTGCGATACGAGCGCTACGAGTTACAAATCAAAGTTTTTCAGTCAAGGCGTCATTGGATTGCTAAAAGGAATCATTTTAGAGCCAGCAGGGGGAGCACTAACACAGCTAAAAAAAAGGAAAGGATGTGGACACAAATGGTCGCCAAAGAGCCCACTAGGCTTGTGTGGGCGTGCGCGTGTGTGGTCTCACCGCCGTCAAGCGCACCCCCTTCCGGGCTTTCTTTGGAGTGCCGGGAGTTGATGGGTACATGGGCATGGGCGGCAGCGCCGAGATGGAGATGGTCACTCGACGCTCCCTGCTGGACGAGCGCCGCCTCTGACCGTCTGCAAACAAGCAAAAAACATCAAACCAATTTTGTGGTTGCCTTTCTGTGGCTTTTAATTTTTTTTAAAAAAGGAATATTCGACAAAACTACAGAGACAGAAAAAATATGAACAAATAACACAAAAATATCAGAAAACAAATATTTAAAGAATAAATAATAGGGAAAAATGTCGAATTTTCGTGAAGGTGGTATTCTGAGATCTAAATATTTGTATCAAGTGGTGTCAAAAGTTGGGTAAGCACTTCTCTCCAACTGAACGAGTCGGCTGAAAAAAAAACAGCTATACTGCAAAATTTCCACTGGGGGGCAGCAGTCGGCAGCTGTTTTATTCCCAAATATTGGGAGGGACTTTTTTTGTTGTTACCTGCACGCAGATGCCAGAGGCTGGCATCCTTGTGCATCTCCTGCAGGCATGGCGGCCGGGTCGCCGGGCGCAGGATGTTCCTCTGCTTGTGCCAGGGAGCCCGGTAGTGCCACGTCAACTTGCTCTCCACGTCCAGGTCCGACACAGCTGCAAAAAAAACAAAAACAAAAAAAGACATAAAAACACAAAACCAAACTTACAAACGGGCCACAGAAAATGGCTCAGAATATTTCATTCCCAATCAATCCGACTGCTCCCACTTGTACACTGACCAGCATCGACGCCCCTCACTGGTCAGTTTGTGTACTACATCATATGACATTTGCTGTGCGAGTCGTGTGTTTCATCGCTTGTTTTCCAGTGTTACGGCGCTTGCACCAACGTCGGCCATGTGATTGGCCACGTGAGCGGCCCTCTGTCGCTGCTCTTGTTGTTGTTGTTTTTGTTAGCGAGAGGCTCGGCCTCCCTGCCCGGGACGTGACCTTTTGACCCCACTCAGAAGCACGCCTGCGTGGCTTACACAACAAGCCGGACAGCGCATGTGCTCTTTGCTTTCACTTGGAGTGAAAATACAACATTGAGCTGAGTGAGTCATCAAAGCGTGACATCCTGAAAGGTTTCAAGCGGCTTTTATGGAGGCAGCTGTTCTCCCCAAATGGAGGAAGTGGCGAAAAGAAAAACAACAAAAACAAGAAAACAAAAACGCGCGGGCGCCGAATCATCTGTTTGACCTCTTGACCACGACAGCGCAGCGTTGAACAAATGTCGGCCTCCTCCGATGAGAAGACAAAAACTAAATCCATCCCTTGTTTATCTTGGCGCTTGTCACCGGACCACTCGGTGACCAATCGCAGGGCAAGTACAGCCAAGCAAGTGTTGACGCTCACATTTACAGCCACCTACAGACAATTAGGTGTCAAAGTGAAGGCGTGAGAGCCCGGCTTGGCCTGCAGCATAATTTGTGGGGGCCCACCAGAACACACTAACTTGCTGATTTTGGGTGTGACATTGTGCTTGGATGTGAGTTGAGGAACTTCAGCGAGCAAAAAGTAGTGCTTTGCTCCATCTTATGGCATCTTGGCGTTGAGGAACTACGGTATGTTGAGGTGAGTTGAAAAGCTTCATTTAGACAAATGTAATGCTTTGCCGCCATCTTGGTACCAAGGAACAATGTTGAAGTGAGTTGAGGAGCTTAATTGAGTCAAAATGTGGTATTCTCTTGCCATTGTTAGCATCTTGGATGCCATGGAACTCTGTTGAAGTAACTTGAACAGCTTCATCTACACAAAAGCAGTGCTTTGTTGCCATCGTGCAGTACTGGGGTGCCAAGCAACTCTGTTGAAGTGAGTTGAAGAGCTTCCCTTCGTCAAAAGGAGTGCTTTGACAGCATTTAATGGCATTTTGGTGTCATCTTGAAGTGAGTTTAAGAGCATCATTTCGACAAAAGTAGTGCTTTGTTGCCATCTTTTGGCATCTCGGTACCAAGGAGCTCTGTCAAAGTGTGTCAGGAAATTTCATGTGGACAAAAGTTGTGTTGCATTTTGTGCCGAGAACCTACACTATGTTGACGTGAGCTTCATTTAGACAAAAATAGTGCTTTGGAAGAACTGCAAGTGGCAGATGTCCGAACCACTCGGCCACCTGTGGAAATGCGTCACAAATGCCAGCCCATCATCAGCCGTCGATCGACGTCGGCTCCTCCCCTTCCTCATTTGCATAGCAGTCAGGATGATAATGTGGTGAGACCTTCAGGCCACGACGAGGAGGAGGGGGAGGAGGCGGAACACAAGCCTGCACCTCAACCTTCTAATTTGCTCCACCGGGAGCCAGGCCAAACCTCCGACACGTCACACACCAACAATTTCGGCCCGGTGGCCTGGGAAAAAAAACAAGCCACGCTCGGCGTAAACACACGCTCGCACACAACATGATGCCGTCTCGGCAAAAGAAATGAAAAAATAAATAAATAAATAAAATAATGAGAGGTACGCGCCATGCGATTACGTCGGCTTTGAACTCCAGCGCACCTCATCTGCCTGGATGCCCCCCACCCCCCGGCACCCGACCGTCCCGTGTTCTTCCACAATGACCTCCCCCAAGCGCAATAATGCGGCAACATCTGCTGCCGTTCCTGCCCCCCCCCCCGACCTCACCCTCCGTCATCTGTTGATGGGAGTTCATCCAAACGGCGCTCGCGTGGACCGCAACGGCGGCGCACCAAAGGCTTCACGACGGGCGAGAATCCATCAACATGATGGCGCAACACTTGAGAATGGTCAGGATACTCATCCGTGTTGAACTTTCATCAAACCTTGGTGAAAATTTCTCTGAACGCAAGGCTGTTGAAGAGTTAGGTGCACTGTTTTTTTTTTTCCCCAGTAGAAAAAAAAAAAACTTTCAAGACCCACACAATATTGCGTTGCGTGACTAAATAAGCACCAAAGCTACCAAAACAAAGACAACATTTTCATCTTTCTACAGGCAAAGTTTTTTTTCAAGCTTTGTTGTTCCTTGGTAGAACGTGAGTTGGTTCCCTTTAAAAAAAAAAAAAAAAAAGAACACGGGTTTCTGACCCAAAAGTGGAGAAAAGCAGTCAACATGTCTAGCACATGTGTTTCTTTGATCCTAAAATTGTTTGCTTTTGTGATAACTCAAACTACAGAACAACAAAACCAAGACTGAGAAAGGACTGCACATGTTCTACTTTGCATTTTCTCTTCATTTTCAGACGCTGCCAAAACTCTGTGCAGGATTTAACGCCATCTCCCGCATTCAACTGGAGTACGCCGCTTGACGGAATGCACTTAAACGAAGATTATCACCACGACGAATGACTCACCTGAATCGCGAATGAACCGAGGCGCTAACGGATCAAATATTGAAGATATTCATCCAGATTTCCTTCTTTTCTTTTTTTCTTTTTTTTTTTTATTTCCCTTAGAAGCACGGCGGCAGCGGCGAGTGAACGTCTTTGGGAGTCTGATTAGTGAAACACAAAGAGTGGCGGGGTCTGAGGGAATAATAACAATAATACCCCGCTGGCCTGCTAATCCACTCTGAGCCCACAGCCGCCCGCACGATGCTGATGACCCAGTCAAGACTGTACTGCCGACGTCAACCTTGTTCATTTATCACAATTGTGCATGAAATTTAAATCAACATTGGCATACAAGTTGAAAAATTAGCAGATTTTTGCAAATGTCTTCTTTTTTGTGAGGGGGAGAAAAAAAAAACACACACACACACACAAAAGTGAAAAAAGTGTTGCTTCAAAAAGCCAAAGAAAAAGCAAAAGGCATGCAGAAATAACCCCTTGCGCGATGATGTCATGCGGTTTCAGCTCTTTTGACTCGAGGTTGCATAAAAGAGGGCGTGAAGTCCTCCCACCCCATCTGTGGAGTGTATGACTTTGTGGGGATATTTACGAGCCCGTCGGGGTGTTCGGCGTGCGTGCAAAGTCATGCGAATGCTTTCACGCGGCTTTAGGGGATGATTGGTAGTCGCAACGGACCACAATGCCCCCGCCAAGGCAGCAATGAGCACGACTGCAGGCTAGTGAAATCAGGTACAGTTACTGGGAGAATGAGTGGGACAATATATGAGCCCTGAGGCACTCCATTTACAAGACTTCCTCGCTTCCTGTGGGAGGCTCGGGCAAAGTGTGGCGGGAGAGCCATTTACAGCCACTATGAGTTTGCTGGTCATGATATCATCAATGTGTGCGTGTGTGGGTGTGTGTGTGGGGGGGGGGGCAATTGTCGTCAGCTACAACACGAGCACTATCGTTTTATGATGCGCTGCAATACTAAATTGTGAAATGTTGTTGCAATCTAGCGTGGGGGCGGAGCTTGGCATTAAAGTGACATGACAATGAGCCCGTCCGCTGTTGCTTGCGCAAAAATGTGTGACTTTCTGTTTGTCTACATTTCGTCACCTATGTTGATTCAGTTTCTACTGCATGTGTGAGAAGACTAATTGTACACACCCCTCCACACACACACACACACACACACACACACACACACACACACACACACACACACACACACACACACATACATACACACAATTATTGTATACTAATCAAATCCACCACAACTCAAATGTGTTTCCACTTGTCCCGCTCCCAGACTTCTTGTTGGTGAGTGAACGCGAAAGCCACATGAATGTGTTACAGAGCGATTAAACACACGCATTTCCACTCGCACACACTCGAGCAAAAGAATGTGGTGCTTGACAAAGGAAACGTTTCCAAGAGTGTGACGGATTTGAACCGTCATTTGACATATCCATGTCGCGTTCCTTCCCAAACCTCCGCCCCAAAAAATCCACCCCAAAAAAAAAAGTGAGTCGAGAAAGTGAGTGGTGAGGCTGAGGTTTTCGCCACGGGAAGCGGCCGCAGAGACGGCGTGTTGCCGTAATACAAAGCAGCTGCGTAAACGGGCGTCACACACTTTTTCTGGAGTTCCGGAAGCACAAACGTCAAACAAAAATTACAATTTTTCATTGTGGGGAAAAACATTGGAAATAATCCACTTTGAAATGGCCGTTAGTCCTGAGTCATTTTCTTTTTTCATCCCGGCCGGCTCTGTTTTGGGATTCTTATGAACCGAACGAAGTGATCTGGCGAATGTTGAGTGCAGTTTTTTTGTATAAATCTGCTCAAAGCTGATCAGCACGATGCACCTGAAACTGAAGACGAATTGGAGGAGACTCGAATCGAGCGGCGAATTGGCCCCAACCGGAACTGATAAAGGGAAACGGTGCCAAGGAAATGAAACTGTACGCCTACATAGGCGGTTCATTCAAACGGACGCCCGGAAGCAGTCCTGGAAATATGATTGACGGCTAACGCATCGCTGTTGGCCAGCTAACGCTATGCTAGCAACAAACAATTTTTTTCAAACATCTAGCGCTAGTTTGGATGAGGCTAGTAGCTCCATAGATGCATTTAAAATGGGACCAAAGAGAAAAAACTTGTTTGTAAGAGTGAGAGTGTTTGTTCAAGTAAGTCATTTTCAACTCAAAAGAATAAGCTTTTCGTACGTTGCTGCGCCAGTGTAGGCTACACTCCGACACTTTTGGATGAGATCAATGAAGAAGGTTCACATATAATCCAGATAAAGAGCTACATAATTTAAGTGCAC